TGCAAATAGATTCTACGGTATGGAAACTGTGAAATGTGTCTACTTTGCAATTTCATACAGAGGAAGTATTTCTATCTGACAAAGATAGATTCAGTTTGAGCCAAGAACTTTTCCTCTGCGAGCTTTTTTTTCTTTGTTTATTATTTCATATTGCTTCTGTATGGTATTTTTTTCCCATTGAAAAAAAGGAAAAACAGCCTTTAGCCCAGAAATCCCCATGTTTTTGGTTAATGAGAATTTTTTGGAAAGTACGGCAGTACTTTTCCTTCTAAATGCTAATTATAAAAGAAAGATCTTTGATTGCACAACAGAGTTGTGTGCGTAAGGTTGTAATTTAAAAACATCACACCCTGGAGACACAATTTGTTACGCTGCAGAAGGCATCCAAGCTGATACCGTTCTCCAGTAACAGAAGACAGCTGGAATGTGAAGTACAAATTCTGATTGATGCACAAAGTTATTTTATGATATAGAAATACTGTACTAGTGACAAGGTGTAACTAGTATTTGGAAAAGGCCTTTTCACAAGTCCAAGAATCTTTGTTCAAAGCACAGTTCTATATGTTCAAAGAATTCTAGCTAAGTGAAATGTGGATGATTTCATTTAGCTATTTTCAGTCTGAGAAAATTAAATTTTATTCTATGCATTCTAATTTAATAATGAGTTGAACCTATAAGTAAACAAACATCTTTCAAAACATGTGCCCTACTATTCAGATGAGACATTAATGTCCTATTTCACACATCTTACAGTATGTATAATCAATTATTGTATGTTGAATATAAGAGGATAATTGTATGATGAATTACAAATACATTTCCCCAAACATTTTTCTTATGCAAAATAGAGATACTTTGAAAAGGAAAAATAGAATATAATCGTAGAATATAATCCTTCCTGATAAATTGTTCAAAGGTAATATGTACCTAATTGTATGCTTCATCCCTTATTTTCAGTGGTTTGCCTGCTGGATATATTAATTTTAGTATAATTAATATATTTACATTGTACGTGCATTTTCTGCAAAAGACATACTAGTTGCGAAGCTACATAAAATGCCATTTATTGAATACTTCAAAACAACTCTTGTATTTTTTTTAAAAAAATAAGTCATTAATGATTTAAATATGTGTATTTGAGATGGTATGAGTATTTGAGTGTCTTCAAATTAGGCCTAAATCACAAGTCTGATATATAGCTGATAATTGAGACTCTCTGAAAACTCCAGTACAACAAATAGATTATGTGCAGTATTTACATGGCAATAGAAGAGCCATATACATCTGTTTTAAAAAAAAGTTCCTCAGAAGCAGTTGATTGGATCCTGATTTTGTTTCACTTTAGTTTTGTTACAATAATTGGGACAAGCTAGCCACAATTGCAAAATTTAGGATTAAATTGAAGAAAGTAGGGAAAAACACTAGGCCACTCATGTATGAACTAAATCATATCCCTGATGAATATATAGTAGAGGTGACAAATAGATTTAAGGAATTAGATCTGACAGAATGCCTGAAGAACTATGGACGGAGGTTCGCAACATTGTACAAGAGGTAGCAACTAAAACCATCCCAAAGAAAAAGAAATGCAAGAAAGCAAAATGGCTGTCTGAGGAAGGGAAGCGAAAGGCAAGGGAGAAAGAGAAAGATACACCCAATTGAATGCAGAATTCCAGAGAATAGCTAGAAGAGATAAGAATGCCCTCTTAAATGAACAGTGCAAAGAAATAGAAGAAAACAACAGAATAGGGAGGACCAGAGATCTCTTCAAGAAAATTGGAGATATGAAGAAACGTTTCATGCAAAGATGGGCATGATAAAGGATCAAAATGACAGGGACCTAACAGAAGCAGAAGACATTAAGAAGAGGTGGCAAAATTACACAGAAGAATTATACAAGAATGAGCTTAGCGTCTCTGATAACCACGATGGGGTGGTCACTGACCTCGAGCCAGAGATCCTAGAATGTGAAGTGAAATGGGCCTTAGGAAAGCTGAGCAACAACAAAGCTAGTGGAGGTGACAGTATTCACTTGAATTTAAATTCATTTGAATTTAAGATTCAAAATCTTAAAAGACGATGCAGTAAAAGTGCTACACTCAATTTGCCAGCAAATTTGGAAAACTCAACCGTGGCCACAGGATTGGAAAAGATCAGTTGACATTCCAATTCCAAAGAAAGGCAATGCTAAAGAATATTCAAACTATCGCACTATTGCACTCATTTCACATACAAGTAAAGTTATGCTTAAAATCCTACAAACTAGACTCCAGCAGTATGTGGATCGAGAACGTCCAGAAGTACAGGCAGGATTTCGAAGAGGCAGAGGAACTAGAGATCAAATTGCCAACATACGCTGGCTCATGGAGAAAGCTAGGGAGTTCCAGAAAAACATCTACTTCTGCTTCATCGACTATGCTAAAGCCTTTGATTGTGTGCATCACAACAAATTGTGGCAAGTTCTTAAAAAGATGGGAGTACCAGACCATCTTATTTGTCTCTTGAGAAACCTATATGCGGGTCAAGAAGCAACAGTGAGAACTGGACACGGAACCACTGATTGATTCAAAATTAGGAAAGGAGTCCAGCAAGGCTGTATTTTGTTGCCCTGCCTGTTTAACTTATATGCAGAGCACATCACGAGAAAGGCAGGGCTAGATGAATTAAAAGTTGGATTTAAGATTGTCGGGAGAAATATCAACAACCTAAGATATGCAGATGATACCACTCTAATAGCAGAAAGTGAAAAGGAACTAAAGAGCCTCTTAATGCGGGTGAAGAAGGAGAGTGAAAAAGTTGGCTTGAAACTCAACATTAAGAAAACCAAGATCATGGCATCCGGCCCTCTCAATTCCTGGCAAATAGATGGGGAAGAAATGGAGGTAGTGACAGATTTTATCTTCCTGGGCTCCAAGATAACCACAGATGGGGACTGCAGCCAAGAAATTAAAAGACGCTTGCTCCTGGGGAGGAAAGCTATGGCAAATCTAGACAGCATACTAAAAAGCAGAGATATCACCCTGCCAACAAAAGTATGTAGTCAAAGCCATGGTTTCCCCAATTGCAAAGTATGGCTGTGAAAGTTGGACCATAAGAAAGGCTGAGCACAAAAGAATTGAGGCCTTTGAACTATGGTGTTGGAGAAGACTCCTGCGAGTCCCCTGGACTGCAAGGCGATCAAACCGGTCAGTCCTAGAGGAGATCAACCCCGACTGCTCTTTAGAAGGCCAGATCCTGAAGTTGAAACTCAAATACTTTGGCCACCTAATGAGAAGGAAGGACTCACTGGAGAAGAGCCTAATGCTGGGAAAGATTGAGGGCAATAGAAGAAGGGGACGACAGAGAATAAGGTGGCTGGATGGAGTCACTGAAGCAGTAGGAGTGAGCTTAAATGGACTCCAGAAGATGGTAGAGGACAGGAAGGCCTGGAGGAACGTTGTCCATGGGGTCACGATGGGTCAGACACGACTTCGCTAACTAACAACAAGCCACAATTTAATCTCTTGTTCTTTGATATCAGCAGGGCTAAAATCTAGCACAATCTATATGCAATCTAGTGTGATCAGCAAACTAACTGTAAACTCCAACTTAGGTTTAAGTCAAATATTGCCCAAGATCATCACCATTAAAAAAATTATATCTGACTCAGTTCAGATGGAATAAGATGAAAAGAAAAAATAAAAATACTGTATTTGATTGTCTATTCCTAGCATGAAGGGGAAAAGGAGTGAAGGACACTGGTTGACATATATCCTATGGTTCATTAAATACCAACATATTCTTTAATTCTATATAGCGCATTAATTTAATGAATTAATTTGACCCACTCTAAGCAGCACAACTTCTGTTCTTTTACAGCAAGGGGCCCCAATCCCCCGGCCACAGACCAGTTCCAGTCCACAGTCTATTGGGAACTGGAGCCGTGCAAGCAGCAGGCGAGTGCACAAAGCTTCATTTGTGCATGTGCAGAATTAGGTTGCACATATGCAACCATCCCCTCTCCCCCTGCCGCCGCCGCTGCCACCATCGGTTGGGGACTGGTATTTTACAGATTATACAGTAACTACTAGAATATTTAAAAAACTGAAGGAAAGAAGCAGCCAACCAAGATGTAGAAGTGGAATAGAATTTTTATCTTGTTCTGGGGTTTCTATATTGATCTGAGATAGCACTAGAGTCTGGTTACTACTTGAAACAGAAAACCCTTTGTTTTCTCCTTTTACAGAGATTTGCTTTTTGCCATTTGTTTAAGGAACTGAATTCCTGAACACTTACGAAAAGGAAGTTTAA